AAGAGCAACAAGATATGGTTATATCTCATAACCATGAATATAACAGCTTTTCTGAGTCCTCCTAGCAAACCTTGAACCTCAGGGTGATCTTAGGGACCACAACACAGTTGTGGTCATCAGTATATGTCAAGAATTAGTCTTCCATTAGTAACAGCATTTAAATTCTAAGTGGGGAGAGTTGTAGAGGTTTTGTGGGGTTTTTTTTTTAAGATTTTATGTACTTATTTTATTTAAGATTTTATTTATTTTCCAACAGAGAGAGAGAGACAGCGAGAGAGGGAACACGAGCAGGGAGAGTGGGAGAGGGAGAAGCAGGCGTCCCGCTGAGCAGGGAGCCCGATGTGGGACTCGATACCAGGACACTGGGATCATGACCTGAGCCGAAGGCAGACGCTTAACGACTGAGCGACACAGGCGCCCAGATTTTATGTACTTATTTTAGAGAGCATGAGCCTGGGTTTGGGGGTGGGGGTGGGAGCAGAGGGAGAGGGACAAGCAGACTCTGTGCTCAGCCAGCGTCAGTCCCAGGACTCTGAGATCATGACCTGAGCCAAAATCAAGAGTTGGATGCTTAACTGACTGAGCCACCCAGGTGCCCCTGTAGAGTTTTATTAGGGGATAGTGTGCATGGCTTTAAAAAAGAACCCCATCCTATTGTTACATGCTTTTCTTGCTTCCCTACCTCTGCCCACCATCACTACCCTAGAGTCTTAGTAAAGAGAATAATTTAAAAATAAAACTAAGGGAAGAGATTTCTTTAAAAATACAAATAGAGGGGGGCACCTGGGTGGCTCAGTCATTAAGCATCTGCCTTCAGCTCAGGTCATGGTCCCGGGGTCCTGGGATCGAGCCCCGCATCGGGCTCCCTGCTCGGCGAGAAGCCTGCTTCTCCCTCCCCCACTCTTCTTGCTTGTGTTCACTCTCTTGCTGTCTCTCTCTCTGTCAAATAAATAAATCTTAAAAAAAAATACAAATAGAGGTATTAGGGATGAGGTATGTAGGAATCACATAACTGTGTCTTGTTGCTGTGTGTACCTTACAACAGATTCTTAAACACTTTCATTTTAAGACCGCTTTATTCCCTTAAATTATTGAAAACTGCAAAGAGATTTTGGTTGTATGTTTTATCTTCATAATTTAAAAAAAATTAACTTTTTCTGCTTGGATCTACAGTAGTGTACACTAATGTGAATGAATCCAGTAAAAAGTAGATTGAAAAGGTAACCAGCATGAGTAAAATGGTATCTATGGAAAAATCCACTCCAGCTTCAGAATACCTGGCTTAAAATGAACTTTCTTAATGGACCTATTTAATGGGATTGTTTTATCCCACATTCTTGGGAACTCAGCAGTGGCTTCTGGGTGAACCATCTCTTCTTTTGGTAAATTTATAATGGAGGAAAGTAGCATCCAAACTAAATAAACTGAAAGATGTATTTTGCTATTTTTGTTGTTTTTGTGACACTTGCATGTTCTGAAGAAGTAACCTATCAAAAATCCTACATAATATGCTCATAACTCATTTTGAATACTGCATTCTTCCTATAAAAAGTACCCATCTTTATGCAGAATTACAGAATTTGGGGATATGTTTATTAATGTTCCTCCAGGGATATGTTATAATATTGGATTTCAGGATAAGGGGAAACTATAAAATCCTTATACCAGTTTTACCTCTGATAGCTGTACTTTTATATATGATATAACAAGAACAGCCAAGGTAAATTTTCTTAATTGATAGTTATATTTATCTCCAAATGCTGTGGACATTTTACTTTTCTCACTTTCCTCAAATAAACTATGAGCTTTTTTTTTTTTTTTAACAGCAGGAGATGTCTTTATTTATGTGTGGATACCCAGCATTTAACACAGTATCTGGTACACTAGTACCAAACATAGAGTAATTTTCACAGTGTTAAAATAAAGCTCATTTATTAAGATGGTTGAGGAGTTTGTTTTAAACATCTTTATAAGTATTTAAAATATATAACAATCATAGGAAGTAAGGAAATAGTGAGAAAGCTCATTGGAATTGTTTTCTTCCAAGAGAGTTGTTCTGAAAGCTTAAGAAACCAGGACATTGAAATCTGTTCCATCATTGTTACTATGAATCAGAGGTTGCCCCAGATCTTCCTTTATCTTAGCTGAACTGCTTCTTACACCTGTGGTCTTTTTTCAGCCACTTTGGTGGTTCTTAGGCTTAATGAAATCAATGATTATTCTGGGTCTAAGTACCCACTTTCAGTACAGTAAGTCATTTACTCACTTTCACAATACCACATTTACTCACCTCACAATACCAGGGGCAGAGTGGCCTTTGAGAAATCAGAAAAACACTACATATTGTAAGATTAGTTCATTTTAAGATTAGTTCAAGGTCTGGTAACATTTCAGTATCTGGCTCACATTTTAGGCTACCTTTGTTAGGTTTTTTAAAAAATCAATAGAAAGATAAGATTGGTGACTTGAAGATGATTCAACTGGAAATGATAGTATAGAAAAGGAGCCAGTAAGCGCACAAGTTTTACACTGGCCTGAAATTTATAGGAGTTTTTGAAATGGGTATGAACAAATACCTCACTGGAGAGCAAAGAAACGCAGTTCATTTCAACAGGCCCATGAGGAGGTGGCAGCTGAGGGGACATGCACTTACTAAATGTCTGCTGGGTTATGGAATAACATGTTTTAGTTAATTATTTCAGTAATGAAAAGTGAGAGTTTGGAGAGGTTGTGAATGCCATGCTTGCAACGCCATGTTTGGGTTAAGGTAAAGCAGGTCAAGATATTTTTTTTAAAGATTTATTTATTTATTTGAGAGGGGGGAGGGGCAGAGGGAGAGAGAAAATCTTCAAGCACACTCCCCGCTGAGCGAGGAGCCCAGCGGGGCTCAATCCCACAACCCTGAGATCATGACCTGAGCCGAAAGCAAGTCTGACACTTAACACACTGAGCCACCCAGGCGCCCCAGGTCAAGGTATTTTTAAAAATCTGACTAGAAAGGGCTTAGCTCTAGGAATTAGTAAAGAAAAAAGAAATTGGCAAAAGAGGTGAGGAGTGAGGTTTTAACTACCATTGCTGTGATTAAGGAAATCTGGGCTTTGGCAGGCTAGATTGTTAGCAGTTTCTGTTAGCAACTGAAGAACTTGAGTGCTGAGTTGGCAGAAAACAGTGTTAACCAGAGGAGGAAACCTGCTTCTGAAGATACTGGGGATGTCAGAAGGTGGAATCTCAGATTTTCTAAGTGCCCTTTTGAAGACTTCACTCATTATACAGATCAGGAAACTTAAACCCAGAGGAGTCAACACATTGCTCTTTGTGTTCACTTGCTCTCAGATGAATATAGTTCCTCTTAAGGACATTTAACATTTTTGGAACAGGCAGCTGAGTCAAAGTGAATCGAAAGCTCTTGTGAGAAGAAACAAGTGAACAGCCTCCAACATGGGACAATTAGCTGAGGCAAAAATTGGAATTGGGTGCTGAGCACCTCCTACGATCTATGTGGTAGTCAAAGCCAAGGTCCCGTGCAATGTGTAGGGCTCTGAGAGGCAGAACTGACAGAACTAGGAAGGTGAGGTCTGTCAAGCAGTCTCTCCCCAAGTTCAAAGCAGAGTGACAGTTCCAGTATGGTTACTGACCAGCCTCCTTGTTTCTGAGGATCAGAAGGGACAGAATGAGGACAATTGAGCTGCACTTAGTTACAGTGCCATGTGACAATCTAAGAGCGATTTAAATCAAGTTTAACATCCTAAATAGGAGTGACCTGTGCCCCTTCAAATTATGTGTTTGTATGTGAGGTAAAATGGGCCACAAATGTCTCTTGAGGATGAGGTTCCCATCTGTTGCCCCCTGTAACTACTGCAATGACACCAAAGATTAGATCAGTCTGAATATGGGTACTAGAATCTAACAGCAATGAAAGTTTCCCTCCCCAAAGTTCCTGGTCTACTCAGCTTTTTCCTTAAATAACTGAGGTTGGAGGCAAAGGAGGTAGAGACACAGAGTGTCAGTAAGCAAGGCTTTTAAGTTCCAAACAGCTACCGGTTCAGGCTCAATAAATGAACTAGATTTCTGCCCAAAGTTCTGTATCTTCATTGCTGACGCCATTCGAGCTTTGGGCACTCTGACTCAGCAACCACCCCTAAACTCCCTTTCAGCTGGGGACCTTGGGCTTGCTGCCCCATTGGCATGGTAACATACCTTTCTCGTTCTTGCACTGGACCAATGACCAAATGTCATGAAATGAAGAGTATGCTTAACTCATGGCTCACCTTCAAGAGAAAATGTATGTGTACATGCTCTGTAGTTAAATTATATCAGATTTAACGTTGCGCTACTGATTGTATTTTGCCCCCTTTTATTGATTCTAACCTCATTTGCACACATTTTGAACACACCACTTTATGACTAAGAAGTAATCCCCTTTAAGGTGAAAGTTAGAATCTGAATTCAACTTCTCCATATCACAACCCCATAGAAGGAATTTTATACCTCCCCACAGCCTAGTATTTCTTTTTTAACACTAAAATACCTACTGTCCTCTGCATGAATACATTGGAACGGAGGTCTAGGGATGTTCCTATCCTGCCTCCATTTCCTCACACTTGCTGCAGCTCAGGGCGCAGTACCTAATATTTACTTTGCCCTCCACCTCTCACATTTAGGAGGGGCAACGGAGCTCGGGCGTCGGACTGTCAACTTCGCCATATATTCTAACAGCAATTGACCTTTCAAAGACTGCTGGGGGAAGACGCTCAAAGTCTGTTCTGGGATTTTCCAAGGACCTCGCCTTAACGAGGTGCAATTCCCAGTGGCTTGCAAGTTTCCAGCAGGGAGGATAAATCTGACCACCTAAGTCCAACTCTCTGACCCTTTGGGAAACGTCCAGGAGTTAGGAAACGCATCGCCGTGGTCTCTCCAGCCTAGAGGACTCGCCCCACAAAGAGCTCGTCACCAGCGGTTCCGGTGACCACGGGGAGATCTCGGAGACCGCCGGACCGCGCACCGTGTCGGGATTGGAAGACGCGCCCGCCGTTCCCTCCCGGCCCCAGGCGGCGGGAGACTGCGCGTGCGCGCTGGGCGGACGGTTCCGGAGACGGCGTTCCCAGCCGCCTTCCGTCTCCGGCGACAGCATGAAGACCGCCGAGGACGCCAGAGGGGCGCGCAGCGAGGGACCGCGGGAGATAGGCCTCTGCCTTCTCTGCGGCCTCCCGGCAGCAGGAAAATCGACCTTGGCGCGGGCCCTCAGCCACCGGCTACGGCAGGAGCGGGGCTGGGCCGTCGGCGTCGTCACCTATGATGACGTCATGCCGGACGCGTTCCTGGAGGAGGCGAGCGCGCGGCCATTGGTCAGTACGGAAGGGGCGGGGCCTAGACCCCTGTCTTGGAAGGAAATGAAGGGGCTCCCGCTAAATGCTGGACTACACCTAGTGTGGGAGGTGCGTCCCTGACGGAGGGGGAGAGACCGGGATTCGAGAAGAGTGGAGTTGGTTTAATACAGAATATGTTGACTCCATCTTAAAGTAATTCATTGTAGAGATTTATATGTCTATTTGGGGCATGTATGTATTGTATCTTCTATAGAGTGAGACTTAAGACAGCTTTAGGTTATGTCAGCGTGTAAGATGGAACCCCCACCCCCCCGGTCAGGAATGCTCTTGAAAAATCCTTTAGGAAGAATATTCTTAGGAAGGGGCGGAATCTCTTAAAAATTTCAACACAGCCGGTTTAAAATCCAGCCATGGGCGAATCTTTGTGGATCTTTAAGTTTATACAATTTGCGGAAATTTTTTTAAGTAAAAGGATACATAATTATAAATAACAAAATTCCTAGAGTCCCTGCCATGGTAATAGAGAGTAGCTGTACAAATGAAGGGCCTGGCCTCTGAAGCTCACTCTTCATTCATCTCAGGCTAAATCTTCCTCTGCCAGCATAGGAAAAGATGGTTGTTTCTTAGTTGACCACCAGATGAAGTAATGGGCTTCTGTTTAGTGACCAGCTTGTATGTTCCAAGTACACATTTCCCTTGAAGCCTTCAAATCACACTCAGCACAGGGAGATGCATCCCCGTGGAGAAGCATATGAAAACAGATCTCTGAGGGGAGAGTCATGTCACCCATCTCATTCTCACTCTAGACCAAATCCTCTTTGACATGACAGATTCTGAAAAACTAAAATATATTTGTCGTTTAATACCCTAGTGTAGATGGATGCACCTAAATAACATGCAAGTATGATGTGATTCCACTCTGTAAATATGTATGTACAAATACGGTACATTTGGTGGATGGAAACATTTTGGACTGCTCCAGCAAAATTATATATACTTCCTTATTCTTGTTTAATTGTGAGGTAAATGCAGTATCAAGTCCCTGGTAGCACTAGATTTAGTTGGATGATAGTATTTTCACCACTTGAGTGAAAGCTGAAAGTTGTTGATAGGAATCGTTATTTGCTGGGCTTTTTCCTCACTTTTATTATATTTTTTCCACTCCTCCCTACAGACGAAGGCCACGGGACTCACCTAGTCACCATGGGTAGGAAACTCACCTTCTAGGAAGTGATCTTATTTCCTTTTTAGTAGGTTTAGGTGATGTATTTGTTACATGTGTTGTAATCTCAGTGATGTGGCAGGGCATGGACAGGCGGGAGAGGGATCCTTATCTCGTGTTCCTATGTGTTCTCTCCAGCCTGGACCTCATAACTCTGTCCCTGCTGTTCACAGTGCTTGAGCAGCACAAGATTACCTGTATTCTCAAGTTATTCTCTTCCCTTCAGTCTACCTTCTCGGTCGTTCCCCATCCCATTTCAACCCTGTTGTTAGCCTGAAGTCTTTTCATCTTGACCCAGGCATCTTTCAGCTGATCTTTTCTGTCCACAACTTTCTCATTTCAAGGGCAAACCAGCATAGGTATATCTAAGCCAGACTATTTTATTTCGGCAGGATATTGATTTTGGCTCCTCTTTTCTCCTGGACGGTAACAGTGGACGGACGATTGATCTAGCAGAGAAATAGAGATGTGCAAACAAATGCCTACACCCTCTGCTAGAGTGGAGACCCGCTATATGCAGAGCAGGATGTCACGTAGGCAAGGGAGGGTATGAGCTGCCCGCTGCGTGGTTGAATCTGAGGAGACTTCAGAGGACTAACATCAGTGAGTAGGAGTTTCTGGGCAGAGAAAACCATATATACACGGAGATACGGAGGCATGACAGAAGAAGTTGTGCTCAGAGAATTCCAAATGGTTTAGCGCTGTGAGCTGAAATGTCCCTGTACGGCGGGTGGCAATTAATCGTGACCACCCTACTGGCCAGAACCTAATGTAAATTGTAATTCTTCCGTCTTTTGTAGCCATCCCAGTGGAAATTGCTTCGACAGGAACTGTTGAAATACCTAGAATACTTCTTGATGGCTGTCATTAACGGGTGTCAGATGTCTGTCCCACCCAACAGGACTGCAGCCCTGTGGGAGGATTTTATAAGCTGCTTAAAGGATCAAGATCTGATATCTTCTGCGGCGCTGGAGACCCAGTCTTGCTACCTCTTAACGAAGATTGCTGTTTCTAGACCTTTGTTTTTGATTTTAGATGACAACTTTTATTATCAAAGTATGAGATACGAAGTCTACCAACTGGCTCGGAAATGTAATTCAAACATTTTTTTTCTTACAGACATTTGTTTGCATATCAAAATCACTACTGTTCTTAGAATTTAATTGGATCGGGAAGTTAGTATTGATTTACTTAATTCTCAAAGCTAGATGTTCAGCATTACAAATGGTTTTTCCTGCTGCAGCCGGGATAATTTGTCTAATTTGTTTATGTCACATTTTGGAAAAAAACAGTGCACCAGTAATTCTGTGGTTTAATGTTATGTTTTCAGATTCATTAGGCTTTTGCCAGCTCTTTTTAGATTGTTCTCTCGAGACCTGTTTACAGAGGAATGGCCAGAGATGCCAGCCACTGCCTGCCGAGACCATTCACCTGATGGCAAGAAAGATAGAGAAGCCCAACCCTGGGAAAAATGCTTGGGAACACAACAGCCTCACAATTCAGAGTACCCCGTGCTCTTCTGAGGCCAGGTATCCCACGCGAAGCCGACCTTCACCGGGTACCTCCCTGAGCCGGGCACAGTGCTCCTTGCTTGACTCATGTCCACTTGGTTAATCCTTACACAAGCCTTAGAGAGAGATTGTTACCTTCCCTTTACGGAGAAGAGGCAACCGAGTGAGAAAGTTTGTTTGCCCAGTGCCCTCGAGCTTGTGGCAGCGGAGATGTGTGCGTGCAAACGTATACTCTCGTTAAGACTGTGTTGTCGCAAGAGATCCGCACAGGGAATGCAGAGTAGGGTGCATCTTTGAAACTCTTGCTAAAGTAACACAGTCTAAAGAGGTTGCCCAGTAATTTTCTTCTAGAAAGAAAAAGGGTGGAAGTGGCCGAGTCGGAATTTTGCCTTCAACCTCCCTGTTGTTACACCGCTGCGTGTGTGGGAGGCTTGGGGGCTGTGGTGCTAATGCTTCCGTTCATGATCTGTGTCTCGAGAGTTCTGCAGCAGCACATTTGTAATGGAATTTTCACGGATGACGGAAATGTCCTCTGTACTGTCCAGTGTAGTGGCTGCTGGCCACGTGACTGTTGAGCTCTTGAAACAGCCAGCGCCTCTGATGGCCCGAATTTTAAATTTTATTTTAATTGCTTTAAACTTAAATAGCCTCCTGTGGCTAGTGGTTATTGTATCATAGCAGAGTTCTAGAGCTCTATTGCCTACATTTCCTCAGCCCCTGCCTAGCTGTTGTCCACAGGGGGTCAGGAGTTTTTATTTTTTTTACTTTTTTTAAAGACTTGAGAGAGAGAGAAAGAGCATGAGTGGTGGGAGCGGCAGGCGGAGGGAGAGGGAGAAGCAGACTCCCCACTGAGCAAGGGGCTCAACGTGGGGCTCGATCCCAGGACCCTGGGATCATGACCTGAGCAGAAGGCAGACGCTTAACGACTGAGCCACCCAGGCGCCCTGGATCAGCAATTTTTAAAACGCTAATTTTTAAAATTTATTCCTCAAAATGTTTGGTTCCCAAGATACAGTTTTCCATGCATTTCATAATATATACTTGAATATACTAAAAAAAAAAAAAAAATGGATTTAAGAGACTGTTGTTTATAGGGTTTATGAAATGAGCTACTGCTGAGGTTTCTAATTTTAACTTTTAATATCCTGAAATTTTGAGCAGGCCCATAACCAGCTGATTGCTACTCATTCTGGAACACTTAAAATTTTTTCCTTTGAAAGTTGAATGGCTGGTTGAGGCATCAAGATATCTATCCCGTGAGAATGGCCTAATGTTATCAATGCTTTGAGACCAGTGAGGGCCCGTTCTTCCTAAAAGCAAGGAAGAGTGAGTTTCTCCCATGCTGTTGCCAACACAGCATAATCTGTTTTGTCTTGGGTCTTCAGAACCTGGCCGCCTGTTCTCACAGGTCCAGAATAGTTACAGCATCAGTGAAGGGGTTGTTTGAAACCTGGTGGCCCTGTATTGGAAGTTGAAAGATGATCCGACAAATGTACCTTCTCCAGGCTTCCGTAAGATACTACTATGTATCCATCATTGACGGCTAATAGTGTTACTACTCAGAACAACAGCAGATACTATGTATCGGGCATGTTCTGAACACGTCATATGTTTAATCTCATTCAATCCTCACAAACAACTCTTGAGGATAAATAGATTATCCCCATTTTATAGATGCGGTAACTGGCCCAGGTAAGTAAGGTAACACATCCAGGTAGTAAGTGGCAGACCCAAGGTTTGGACCCAGTGCAGTCTCACTCACTCCAGAACCTGGCTCTTTCCAGCGTGAGAAAGATCATCTTGAGGTTGAAATTTAACTCACACTGGCCTAAATTGCTTCAGTGCCATGCTCTGCACTCTGAGTAGAATTTAAACTCCTCACCATAAATTACGTGTTCTAACCCAGTTAACTTTGCAACCTCATATCCTACTACTTTCCCCCGTTGCTGCTTGTCAACCAAACTGGCCTTTGTTCCATGAACAGGAGGAGCTTTTTCTTGCCTCAGGGCCTTTGTACTTGCTGTCCCCTCTACCCTCCCCACTTATTTATGCTTGATTGACTTTCCTGACCATCCTAACTAACGTGAGGAGTGTTCATTGGACTAAGCAGTCACTCTCTTAACACCATCACTTTGTTTATGGTCTTTACTCACTTGTCACTATCTAAAATTATAATTTTTTGCTTAATTATTGAGACAGACAATGGAATCATTACCAGGCTTAGAGAGGATAGGGATTTCGCTGTACCCCCCCCCCCCAGCTTAGCACATAGTCTCACATACATGGTTGTATATTTTTCATATAAGAAGATACTCAGTAAAATCTTGTTAAATGAATGAATTCTGCCTCAGCACTCCGTGGCCCCTTGACCAGTGAATAACTTCGCTGACCTACATCCAGTAAACAAGCAGAAGCCAGAAAGTACAGACCAAGTATCCTTCTTTAGAGAATAAAATAGAGCTGTAGTAGCCTAAAGTTTAGCACTTAATGAGGGACAAGAGAGGATGTCTTTCGAAAGCTTATTGAAATGTTTTAGGAAATTAATATTTTTTAAATAAGGGGATTCTTTTGCCTTATAATTTGTTTTGGGCTTCTACTTTTAGATTTTGCAAGTAGAAAGTAGCTTCCAAATCATTTCGCGTTTCCCCTTTGGCTTAGGACCTTGGGGTTATAGCACATTTATTCCTCTAGAATTCAATTTAGTATTCCTAAACACCAGTTCTTTTAAAAAAAGATGTTTGATATAAGGATTTATTTTATCTCCCCTTCTCTCATAGCCTGAAGTTGACTGATTTATTGCTTACTGCTTTGGAAAATCCAGTAAAATATATTGAGGACAATGTGGAACAAAAGGTAAATCTTCCAGTATAGATTTAGTATACATGGGAAGGCACCGCTTTCTGAAGGAATGAATGTCTTTTTGAGCTGAGTGTAAACTCTGAGTAAACTGTGGAAAATGCTGTCACCGCCCTGGCATCCTGGCAGCCCTCAGCTTCTGACTCGTGGCTGCGGTGGTGCGTCAGCTGGTCGGAGCCAGTTGTCAAACTCTCAGAAATGTTGGAGCCTGTCGCCATTATATTGGCGTTGGTAACTTGAAACGGGCAAGGACAGGAATACGTGCACCAGAGACATTGACAAACACTGGAAACAGGTTGTGTTGCTCTTGTTTCTGGAGAGCCTGTTACTAGACATTTACCAGCAGCCGCTGTCTAGATGGGACCCATCTTCTAGGGAAGGACAACTGGAACAGAAAAACCATCTTCACTTTCCTTTTCATCTTATCAAATACGTGTCACACTTTAGCCATCCTTTTCTAAAACTTCCAATAACGATGTCTGTGTTACATAGGAATCAGACAGAATTATTTGTTCAGCTAACGTTCTGCATCAAGCTGACCAGACGCTCCGAAGGATTGTCTCTCAGACGATGAAGGAAGCAAAAGGTATGTTGGGTAGTTGAATGGGGTTTAGTTGATACGACTTTGCTGCTATTCCTGTCTCCTTGACACTTTGGGTAGTTTATTAGCTTTCAGTCCTAACATTTACATCATGTTTTCAGTTTCAGTATGCAACTTGGTTATATAAAAACTAAAAATTCTACCCCTAGAACAGGGTATTCATCCATCCAATACATTTTTATCGAGTGGTGACTCTGTACTAGGCTTTATTCTAGATACCGGGGCATCAGAAGGGAGCAGAATGTTATAGTGAGTAGACAGACAGACAGACAAGCACATGAGTATCTGCTGGTGCCCTGAAGAAAAATAAAATAGGGAAAGGCAATGTAGAGTGATGGAAGAGCTTCTTTTTAAAGGATAGTCTGGAAGGCTTCTTAGCGATGACATTTAAGCCGAGATATGAATGAACAGAAAGAGCAAACATGCAGTCATCTGATAGTAGATAGTTCCAGGCAGTGGCCACAAATGCAGAAGCCCAGAGGTGAAGTTGTCTGGTAGGTTCTAGAGCAGAAAAGTGGCAATTAAGTCGGGTGAAGTAAGGAACGGGGAGAGGTGGTCAGGGGCCACATGTCAAATCGGCAAGCTCAGTGTGTTGTCTGTCTGAACTTGAATGGAGTATGTGCTAGTTCTAGAAAATAACTCCTTCAGATTTTAAATACTGAACTCCTTGCTTTATTTAAATTTTGATTTAAAAACTATCGTTAGCTTAACATTTCTTGAGCTTTTATGTGCTCAGTGTTGCCAGTGTTTACAGCCCCATGAGGTGAGTGTAGTTTTACAGATAGGGACATGAAGGTTCTGGGAGGATCAAGTAACTGGTGCAAGGCTGAACAGCTACGAGATGCTTGGACAGCCTGGGTTCAGAGTCAAGTCTGACTCCAGTGCGTGCTTTCTTTTAGGCTCCCCACATCACCAGCATTGATCATTAATACCTTTACAAAAGCTTAGAACTGTTGGGAAAGCAAACAGTACACTAACCATATGGTGTTTTTCATACAATCTATAAGCAGATTTTATCTTGTACCCTAGGGTGTAGCCCAGTACATGAACACATGCGTGTGTAGCAACAAGTTTCACAAAACCCTCACATGTGTAGTGGGCTCTACTATGTTCTGTTTGATTTCATTTTAGAAAAACGCTGCTTGCAACTTACATCTCACCGGTAGGTTACAGTCCAAAGTTTGAAAACCAAAGGCCTGGAACAAACAGCAGCATAATTAGAATAGAGAGAGATAGTTGCAGGAGTTCTCTCTCAACCATTTGCCTTTCTTGCCTTCTATATAAAATGAAGAGAAGGGGCGAAGGGGGAATAGGATTATGCCCAAATCCCTCTTGACTCATTTCCCACCCATTACAATACACATTTATTTATTTATTTAGGTGAGGACCTAGCTTCTAGGTCCATACTTAAATGAAATTAGAAATTCATTTCTCCTACCATCAAGAAAGTGAAAAGACAGCCTACGTATCAGGAAAGAACACTTGGAGATCATGAGAGACTTGTATCCAAAAGAGGTAAAGGACTGTTACCACTCAGCAATAAAGACAATCCAATTTTAAAAATGGGCAGAGGGTCTGAATAGACATTTCTCCATCTCAATGGCCAAACCATAAGAAAACACACGTATCAGTAGTCCTCGGGGAAATGCAAACCAAAACCACGAGATCCCACTGCACACCCACTAGGCCAGCCAGAATCAACAAGTGCAAGCGGTGGTGAGGATGTGGAGAAATGCAAACCCTCGTCCACTGCTGTTGGCTATGGTGCAGCTGCTTTGGCAAACAGCCAAGCAGTTCCTCAAACAATTAAACGGAGTTACCAGGGGACCCAGCCATCCCACTCCTACGTATCTGCTCAAGAGAATTGAGAACACGTTCATATAAATATGTGTACACAAAGATTTGTGTCAGCATTATTCCTAGTAGCCAGGATGAACCTTGAAAACAGTATGCAGAGTGAAAGAAGCCATCGCAAAAAGCCGCATTGCTTGAGTCCCCTCATGTGAAATGCCCAGAAGGGGGAAATCTAGAGCCCCATTAGTACATTAGTGGTTGCTTAGGGATTTAGAGTGGGGTGGAGGCTGGGGTAGGAGGGTGGGAGCTAATGGACGCACGTTTCTGAGACGATGAGATGTTCTCAAATGGACTGTGGGGATAGGTGCACGTACCTGCAAGTACACTGAATCGTAGTTTAAATGAATAGAGTGTATGGTGTGCCAGTTTTCTGTAAAGCTGTTTAATAACAAAGCAATTTTGTTTCAGTCACATTACCCACATGGCTGGTGGCTGCTGAGTTGAGTAGGACAGAACATTTTCATCACTGTAGGAAGTTATAGATTAGACAACTGCTCTAGAGGTTTATCACAGTTTCAAACCAAATTGTCATTTCCTAGTTCTGCTTTTTTGCCTTACTACCTGTTAGTTCAAGAAGATTCTAAATCAACTATCTTGTCAACAACAAAAATCCTTTTCAGGCTTATCTTTTCTGCTCACGCATTTCATAGCCAGGTATTGAAAAGATTTGTTTGCTATCACATGAATGGGACCTTTGTTTCTATAGTACACCTACTCGACTGTGATTATTAACAGAATAATCTGATTGGTTTGTCTGAAGTATTCAAATTCATTTCCTGATGTTATCAGACAGCCCAACTTGATTTAGTTTACACAAATAATTTTGAGAGTATCTTTTCATTTTAGATGAACAAGTGCTTCCTTTCAACTTGAAGCTTCTAGCAGAAGAACTCAACAAGCTCAAAGCCGAGTTTTTGGAGGACCTGAGACATGGAAACAAAAAATACCTGTGCTCTCAACAAACCATCCACATATCAGATGTTATTTCTTTTTTTCATTATAAGAAAGACAACATTGTCCAGAAATATTTTTCAAAGCCGCATTAAAACTTCTGAACTTCCGATCAAATGTCTGATATTGGTTAAGATTTTGCGAACTAAAACAATTTTGTGTTACTGGACGTTTTCTCGCCCAGTGATGGGAATTGCCGAAGACTTATTTAAAAAAAAAGCAACAGGGAGCGCCTGGGTGGCTCAGTTGTTAAGCGTCTGCCTTTGGCTCAGGTGTCCTGCGATCGAGCCCCGCATTGGGCTCCCTGCTCTGCGGGAAGCCTGTTTCTCCCTCTCCCACTCCCCCTTGCTTGTGTTCCCTCTCTTGCTGTCTCTCTGTCAAAAAAATAAAATCTTAAAAAAATAAATAAATAAAAATAAATTTTAAAAAGCAACAGTCCATTCTAAAGATCCATTTGTCATAACAGAAATAACCTCAGTCAGTCACTTGCCAGACATGACATGGATAATTAGGCATCAGAGGCAGGCAGGCAGGCATCCTCATTTATGTGCCAAACCCTGAGGGCGGGGATGGTGGGGACAGGGGTCTTATTGAATGGTTCCTCAGGAAAGCAGAAAGACGAGGAAGGAGACAAGATGTGGATGCATGGAGCCGTTTTTGTCTTTAACTCATGTGACCAATCCTCTCATGGGTAAGGCATTCTACAGAGTCAAACCAATGTAGCCATAAAACCTTCTTTTTTTAAATTTATTAACAGTTTACATACTGGAAAATTACTAAAAAATTGGATCCTAGTTTTTAAAGAAGAAAAATCGAGATCAATAGAAAGTGTTATTATTTTTATTCATGTATTACAAAAGCAAAGCTTCATTCACAATAGGAACTACAGACTAGATATAGTTATTTCAGCATTGAACTGCTCTCTGGAATCCCTAAACAATATAGTGTTTTGCAACCATACTCAAGTTTTATGTTTTGCATACAAAATATGTTCTTTACATCAAAGTACATACTAACAAAAACAAGTTCTAGAAATCATATACCCTCTAAGACTATTTAATGAAAAAGTCCTTAGCAGGGAATTTTTTTTTTTTTTAAATAATACATCCACTTGATAAATATTTTTGTAGAACTTAAAATGAGGTTTATCCAACATTTCTTAAGTAATATTCCCTTTGTCAAACAATTCTGCAGATGAATGGCAAACACTTATTTCTAAAATGAAATAGCACTGGAAAATATTCAAAGTAAAAGTCTAGCCTTTACTTGAATTTCAAGAAGTTGTAGCTACATATTAGTAAAATCTGAAATGAAATTATTCCCTGTTAATCTCTTCACAGTTTCTTAAAAAAATATTAGTGGAGATTAATTATCTACCAACTTTAAAAATCTAAACTTATGTTCACTGAACAAAAATACATTTAGTTTCAGAACATTGCCTCTTAACAGCAAAGTACTATAAATAGTTCATGTTCAACTTTCCCTAGCAGCTCATTTCTATAAAATATTTGATTAAAAATAAAATGGGAGAAACATTCAACACTTAATGGAAGATAGTATCATCTTTCCATGTATAAAATTTAACTCACAGAAAATTTAAATAAAATCCTAAATCTTTTTAAAAATACAATACTAAAAAAGTTTATAAGGTAGATTTGATTCAAAAACTTTAGTGCATTTAGAATTAATTGTAGCTCTCAAGCATGGACACCTTTGGAATACCAACTGTGCTCTTTTAAGTCATAGGAAAATTAGAATTATACATTCTAGTTAAAATTATGAAAAAAAAGATACTTTGTTTAAATTAAAATGTACCTTCAAAACATCTATCTTTAGTTGCCAGAAAAAAAGTGTCACTATTTGGCCCAGAATATAGAGTTAATAAACTGGTTTTAACAAGAGGGTTCTTTCTCTTTAATGAAAGCTTTCATTTTCTATCTTGGGATATTGCTTTTATGTGAAGAATAAAAGTGAGAAGGAAGAAAATAATTACAAAATCTTCCAAATGACAGCAACCTGTTTCTTTCTGGCAATAAATAAATACTAGAGCCAAGTTCCACATTTGGAAATGGTTGCATTCAAGCTGATCTGAGCAATGAGTGATTTAAACAAGAGAAACACAACTGTAGATTCAGAAGCCTCAGATTTGACAAGGAGAGAGTTATTTATAGTTTCGACAGACTCTTTGCTGCTCTTTGAACAATGCTGTTGAGGTTAGTTTTGACTGGATATTAAACCACGAGAACTCATTTTAATGGCTCTCTAGCATTTGGAAAGAAGGGCAGAAGATCCATTAACTTGGCATGTGGGGGTTTTGGTGAACGCCTATCATCATTTCCCTTATTTGCTATAGAAGAGTGTAAGTCCTTTTTGCTTCATAAATGCTTCATAGTTAGGGTATTCTCTTTGAGAAGCCAATTAGCAAGACTTTCAAGATTTGAACCAAATTAAAAATGAAACTTTCCCAAAGTACACAGAAACCAACAGTTAGTAACAATATATTTTATTGTTTGACCAAGCTCTCTTAGAGTGAGCTAGTTATTACACAATATAAAAACAACAGCCTCCTATTCAAAATTATTCTAGATTTAGCAAGTCATATTTTTGTAAACAAATTAAATATCACATTTAAATGCATTTTATATCTATTTTCCCACTTTTGTACCCTTTCCTACTAAGGCGACGATTCAGTCAGTCTCTAGTTTTGTCACTATCCATGAAAAACTGGCAGAACTGCAAATAAGCATTACAAGCTGAATTCACAGAAAATATTTTAAATGGCCAATTCTGAAGGGAAAACCAGAATTTGTTTTGGACACACGTTCTCATTTTTTTACGTATTACTTCACCATCCTATTTTCCCATGTGTTTCTATACCCACCTCTTCTTGGAAATTACAGGCAGTAAATGGATAGAAGGCAGGAAATGGAAACTTCAGAGATTTTTTTTTTTCTTTTGAAGGACTGCATTTCCAAGGAATAAGATGGATGACTACCACCACTGTACCTCTTTGGTCATCAAAGGAATGAATAGGAGGAGTAACAGATTCTCAGTATACTTATCAACCTCACCTGACACTAATAACGTCAGAGTGAAGAATTTAGATGAAAGGTTCAAATTAAAAGAAAAAAAAGGCATCTTTAGAGATAATCCTCTGATATTTCTAGCATTTCATGTGGTTTTTACAATAAACCAGAATAAACAGAATCCAATGGAAAACTGACACATATTTAAACTAGAAATTGAACAAACAGGTATTTTAAGTATTAAACCCATTTTTCAATTTAGGTTTCATTTCTTTTCAGAACTTTTGCCTCCTATATTTATAACTTGAATTTAAAAAGAATGACCTGTTTTACATTTCCCCTTAAGGAAAAAAAACAAAAAGAAGGATCTGCTACACTAAATAGCTCTGTGATTATCAGGTGAAATGAAAGTACTGTGAACATTCAGCAATGTGAATGAAACAGCACGTTGACAAAGAACGAGGTTAAAGGCAATTCCTCTACTAAACACTGAAATAAACTGTCATAGACTTTGTAAGAGACAGTAATTCTACCATGTTGAAATATGGCAGAGGTAATATCTAGCTGAATGTATATGTTGAAATACAAGAGTACCAGTAAGCTTTGAAGTGTTTATGGACCGTAAGTATGGGAAATTTAAATGAATACCTGTTAGGATTATGATTGCACTCCAATTCTCAACTGTCTAAGTGAAAGGAAAAAACAGACACCAACGTGTCTCACTGCTCTAATACATAAATGAGCCTGACCAGATCTCTATAGGAAAAAAAAATTTTTTTTATTTCCACTGTCAACCTTATATTCTATAAATATATAGACTTTAAATTAGCAGACACCTTATTAGGAATGACGCCCCCCTGGAAAAAAAAAAAAAAACAATAAACAAAACTATAAAACACCAAAAGGTAAAACCAAGTAAAGCATAATGTGATTATTTTCAATCAGTGTTGGTTATGCTGTCCCCTTGCAAAATGACAGGCAAAATCATACTTGTTTTTACATTTGCAACCACATATGTTACACTGAAAAGGATTTTCATACCCATGACATCCCATATGAATAGTGTAAAGGATATTGTCGGCAAAGTACATATCACAGTGCTGGCAGTGGTGCAGAAGCTGCGGGTCCTGGACCGGGAGGGTTGGAGCTGGAGTGCTCGGCTGGCTGTTTCCTATGCTGGGAGTACTCGTGTGGGCACTTGGTTCACTGCTCGGACCTGCCACCGGACTGTAGTTCCTCTGACTATGTGACGGCCGAGGTTCCGGGCTCGTGGGAGAGGAGCTCTGAGGAATACTTGCGGACACAGCAGCAACCACTGCTTGGGCAGAGGGCTGCTGCATCATGAAAGGCTTCTCGTCAGGGCAGGGAACTACATCAGGAGAGGCAGGGTTTTGGTTTTCTGGTGGCAAACTAGACAACTGTCCTGCCAGGGTTGAGAGCTGATTTAAAGGGTTGTCAACCATGAGTTCTTGGGGGTCCCTTGGTAGGCCACCAGTTGATGTGGTTTTTGCCATACTTTCATAGGAGTCAGTCTGGATATTTGGGATTTCATGGGTAAAATCGTTAAGGTAGTCTGGCTTCTGAACCACCATGGAAGGTGGACTTAAATTGATTAATGCTCTTCTGCTATAGCCCAGATTGCTTGTTTTCTTCTGTAAAACTCCCCACATTTTCTTGCTGCTTAAGGAAGACCTAGTACCTTTAATTGGTACCATTTTATGCTTGCGCCTTCGATGATGGGACAGGTTACTTCGATCACTGCAGCGGAAGGAACATAATTCACATTTGTATGGTTTTTCTCCGGTATGGGAACGCATGTGGGCTTCCAGATGACGCTCATAAGCAGATGCAAATGGGCATAAGTGACATCTATGAGGTTTCTCACCTGTTTAAAAAGAAAAATGGGGGAGAAACTTCAAGAGTAGCTCATTTATGGAAAGTTTCATGTGTTGTCCATTCATTAGACTTAGAAACTGATCAGGTTTCTTTGCAAAGAAACCTGTCAACTTAAAGCCTTAACTCATCAGCAACAATTTGAGATCTATAGATATGTTCTATTAGTATAGTGTAGAAATTGTTATGGCTT